GTAGCGCCGTGGGCTATATAGACCCGTCAGCACACGTAAACAGCTTTTCAAACAAAAAGCTTACCCTCTTGTTGTTGTTGTTGTCCATCTTTGATGACGCGGTAGTCGGGAACGGCAGATTGAGCACCGATCTGGCCCGCATCTGCGGGGGGATCGCGGAGCCACAACAAGGGACCAAAGAAAAAGTGGTACCACCGGATCGCTACACAACCATCAGCACCCGTATGAAAATAGAGAATAAGACGCACTGTAGTCATTCTTGATGACTTTGGCGTGGACGTAGGGGAGCCAGAAGAGAATGGAGAGGAAGGTGACGACAGCGGCGGTTCCGACGATCGCAGCGGCTGTCGCGCCTTTGGAGAGCTTGTTGAGTTTGAGCGAAGGAGCACCCTTATACACTACCCACAACGTCAGTAGGGCGATGGATGATAAAGTCAAGAGACTCACCAATGGACATGGTCAAGACGGCGGTGGTGGTAAAGAAAAAGACGGGAGAGGCCCACAGACCTGCACGAGCAGGGTTTTCACGGACGAGGACAATGTATTTGGTGAGGAGGTAGATTGTCGCTGCGAACCCAGCGGCAATACCAGGGGCTACCAAACCGAGTCAACAAATGTCCATCATCCAAAAAGCGTCTACTCACCGATGATGAAACCGGCAAAGATGGTGGCAAGACCTTTACCGCCGTTCCATCCCCAGTTGACGGCGTCCTTGCCACCGACGGCGACACCGACACCAGCAAGGGCAGATACGATCGAGTAAGTGGTCGACACGGGCCACGAACGGTTCGTCGCGATCATCAACCAAGTCGCAGAAGCAACCAAAGCGCACTAGAACCTCTGTCAATCGCCATTCTAAACAAAATCAACGCGACGATCGGACTTACTGTGAATCCGAGGATCTGGACACCAGCGTTGCCTTGGAAGGCAGTCAAGGCCTGTAAAGAGGTGTTGGAGAATGTAAAGAGTGTATAGAGGGGTACATACGATGATGCTACTCTTGATGGTGGCGGAGACGCGAGCACCGACGAGGACGGCGCCTA